AATAAAGAAAATTTTTAAAATTTCTGGAAACAAATGAAAACAGAAAATGATGTACCAAAATGTGTAGAATACAACAAAAATAGTACTGAGGGAATTTTATAGCAATAAATGCCTGTACTAAAAAAGTGGAAAGACTTCAAATAAACAACTTAATGATGTACCTCAAGAAACTAGAAAAGAACAAACTAAACTCAAAATTAGAAGAAAAGATATAAAATTCAGAGCAGAAATAAATGGAGACTAAAAAATAAAGAAAATCAATGAAATGAAAAGGTTTTTTTTGGCAAAAACAAAATTGACAAACCTTTAGCAAGATTAACTGAGAGAAGACTCAAATAAATAAAATTGTAAATGAAACAGGAGACATAATAACTGATGCCACAGACATACAAAGAATCATTAGAGGCTATTATGAACAGCTACATGACAACAAGTTGGAAAACCTAGAAGAAATGGGCGAATTCCTGGACACATACAACCTACCAAGATTGAAACCATGAAGAAATAGAAAATTTCAATGAACCAATAATGAGTAATGAGATTGAAGCCATAATAAAATGTCTTCCATCAAAGAAAAGTCTAGGACCTGATTGCATTATTGCTGAATTCCACCAAACATTTAAAGAAGAATGATGACTAATTCCACTCAAATGCTTCATACAAATTGAAGAGAAGGGAATATTCCTAAACTCATTCTATGAGGCTTGCATTACCCTGATACCAAACCAGACAAAGACACAACCAAAAAAGAAAACTATAGGCCAATATCACTGATGAACATAGATGCAAAAATCCTCAAAAAATACTAGCAAATGGAATTCAACAACACACTAAAAATATAATTCATCATGACCAAATAGGATTCATCCTAGGGATGCAAGGATGGTTCAACATACAAATCAATAAACACAATATATCACATTAAGAGAACCAAGAACAAGAACGATATGATTATTTCAATAGATGCTGAAAAAGATTCAATAAAATTAAACATGCCTTTATAAGAAAAAAACCTTCAACAAACTAGGTATAGAAGAAATATACTTCAAATAATAAAGGCCATTAGCTATGAAAAACTCATAGCTAATATAACACTGATAGGAAAAACTGAAACCCTTTTCTTTAAAATCTGGAACCAGACAAAGATGCCCACTTTCACCACTTTTATTCAACACACTACTGGAAGTTTCAGGGCAATAAGGCAAGAGAAAGAAATAAAGGGCATCAAAGAAAGAAGTTTAAATTAGTCTTGTTTGCAGATGACATGATATTATACTTAGAAAAACCTAAAGACTCCACCAAACAACTGTTGGAACTGATAAGTAGATTCAGTAAAGTTGCAGTATTCAAAATCAACATACAAAAATCAATAGCATTTACATATGCCAAGAAAAAACAATCTGAAAAAGAAATCAAGAAATCAATTTCATTTACAGTAGCTACAAATAATACAAAATACCTAGGAATCAATTTAACCAAAGATGTGAAAGATCTATCCAAGGACAACTATAAAATGCTAATGAAAGAAACTGAAGAGGGCACCCAAAAATGGAAAGATATTTCATGCTTATGGACCCAATGACGTTCTCCATAGAAATAGAAAAAAAAAAAAAATCCAAAATTTACATGGAACCACAAAAGACCCCAAATACCCAAAGCAATCCTGAGGAAAAAGAACAAAGCTAGAGGCATCACACTACCTGACTTCAAAACATACTACAAAGCTATAGTAACCAAAACATTACAGTACTGGCATAAAAAGACATACAGACCAATGGAACAGAATAGAGAACCCAGACCCAGATATAAATCCATGCATTTATAGCCAACTCATTTTTGACAAAGGCATCAAGAACATAGAATGGGGAAAGGAGAGAATCTCTTCAATAAATGGTGCTGGGAAAACTGGATAGTTATATGCAGAAGAATAAAGCTGAACCCCTATCTCTCACCATATACAAAACCCAAAGCAAATGGATTAAAGATTTAAATATAAGACCTAAAACTATGAAACTACATGAAAACATTAGGGAAACACTGCAGGACATTAGTCTGGGCAAAAATATTTTGTGTAAAACCTCAAAAGCACAGGCAACCAAAGCAAAAACAGACAAATAGAATCACATCAAGCTAAAAGGATTCTGTGCAGCAAAGGAAGCAATCAACAAGTCAAGAGACAATCCATGGAATGGGAGAAGATATATGTGAACTATCCATCTGACAAGGGGTTAATAACCAAAATATATAAGGAGTTCAAACCACTCAAAAGCAAAAAGCAAACTGATTTTAAAATGGGCAAAAGATCTGAAGAGACATTTCTCAAAAAAAGACAGAGGGCCAACAGGTATATGAAAAAAATGCTTAATATTACTAATCATCAAGAAATACAAATCAAAACCACAATATAATCTCACCCCAGTTAAAATGACTCTTATTAAAAAGACAGGGAATATAAATGCTGGCAAGGATGTAGAGAAAGGAAATGCTTGTGCATTGTTAGTGGGAATGTAAATTAGTACAGCCACTATGGAGTATTGTATGGAGGTTCCTCAAAAAACTAAAAATAGAATTACCATCTGATCCAGCCATTCCACTACTGATTTTATATCCATATTAGTCTGTTTTCACGCTGCTGATAAAGACATACCCATGACTGTGAACAAAAACAGATTTAATTGGACTTACCTTTCCACATGGCTGGGGTGGCCTCAGAATCAAGGTGGGAGGCAAAAGGCACTTTTTACATGGCAGTAGCAAGAGAGGAGGATGCAAAAGTGGAAACCCCCGAAAAAATCATCAGATCTTGTGAGATTTATTCACTACCATGGGAACAGTATGGGGGGAACCACCCCCAAGATTCAAATAATCTCCCACAGGGTCCCTCCCACAATACATGGGAATTATGGGAGTACAATTCGAGATTTGGGTGGGGACACAGAGCCAAACCGTATCAATATCCAAAACAAAAGACATATTGAAGAACTATCTATATTCCCATATTTATTGCAGCGCTATTCACATAGCCAAAATATGAAATCAACCTAAGTGTCCATCAATGGGTGAATGAATAAAGAAAATGTGGTATATATACACAATGGAATATTATTCTGCCATAAAAATGTTGAAATCTTCTTACGTGCAGAAAGATGGATGGAACTGGAGGTGATGTTAAGTGAAATAAGCCAAACACAGAAAGCCAAATATCACATGTTCTCATTCCTATGCGGGAGCTAAAAAAGTGGATCTCAGGAAGATAGAGAGTAGACTGGTAGTTACCAGAGGCCAAGAAGGGTAGGGGGAAATGAAGAGAGGTTGATTAATGGGTACAAATACACAGTTTGGTAGAATAAATAAGACCTAGTGTTTGATAGGTCAGTAGAATGCCTATAGTTCACAATAATTTACTGTGTATTTCAAAATCACTAGAATAATTCAAATGTTTCTGCCATAAAGACAAATACTTAATGTGACAGATATCCCAGTTACACAGATTTGCTCCTTAAAATTACATGAATGTATTATCACATGGACCCTCAAAATATGGACATCATTATGTATCAATCAAAAATTAAAATAAAAAAAAGCTAAAACTGAAATTTTCTGCAACTCAAAGTTCTAGAAGTATGTTAAAATACAGAACATGTGTAAGTCTTCCTAAGTTGCCTCAGAACCAGTGATTTCATTGATGTCAGAGGGTGTGTGTGCCGGTCTAGAATGCAATACAAAGCTGTTAGAGTGACAGGGAATTCTCAGTTACTGGAGATCAACCTTAGAACACCCAGAGGCACTTAGCAAAGGTCTGTTTTCAGACGAGTGTGCGTGGGGTGGGGGAGTAATGGGGGCGCAGCTCTGAAGTGAAGATGAAACTTCCAACAAATGAATGCCAAAGTGTGAAAAGTTCTTGAGAATGATCTCCAGGCAACTCCTATTGGCTGGTGGGCTCTATAAAAGGTCTACAAAAACATGCCTTTTTAGGGTATGTACTTACTGCCTGAGGAAAAAAAAAAAAAGTTGAGAGACATGAGCAAAGCAACCTAAGGATGCAAGAAGGGCCTTACAGGGAGGAGGAATGGGGACGGGAGCGGGCCTGAGAGTTGTTGCAAGCTGACCAAGTGGAAGCTTTGAGTGCCACACATCCCAGCAGCCTTGAGAAGCAGGTGGGCAAGTCTCCACATACCAGCAAGGAGGTGCTCGTAGCATTAAGAACGTTGTCTGAGGAAGTTCCGGCTTCTCCAATTAGCCCCTGAGGGATGTGAGGTGGAGCTGTGTGGTGTAAGCCTAGCCCCACCTGAGCCACAAGGGAGCTGTGGACCATCTTCCACAATCTCAATTTTCTAAACTCATTTGTTGCGTGATAATCTTAAAACATTTTCTCTTAAACAAGCAGTAGCTTATAGCATAGGAAATAAAATTCATACAAAATTATTTGTAAAGACACAAAACCAGAGAAATACGACTTTTGCTCTCCTGGCCACTCTGAGCTGGATTCCAGATCCCTGGAGACTGAAGGGACTCTGCTTTGAATGCTGCGACCTGACTCCTGGCCCTGCATATGCCAAGGAGGAGGGAGGTGGAAAGACGTTGGAATGGGCTGGGGGTCAAGGCTGTACTGGGGCTGCACAAGCAGTTGCAGGAAGGGCAAGTGGAGGCAGGTAGCATTAGTGACAACGGCAGCCACAGAGTGGAGAACAGCGATGGCGGCAGCCGAGTGTGGGGCAGGCTGGAAACACAGTAGCAGCAGATCTTCTGATAGCAGAGGCTAGAGCCGTTGAGATGAAGCTAGGGGCAGCCTGTCCTTGGGGAGGAAGCCACCGACACCCAGCATCTCTCCAGAAAGGTTCAGTTGTCTGGGCTCAAGCAGCTTGCAGCACCAGGCACCTTAATTCTCTGTCACTCACTACTGGCATCCACAGAGAGGTCACCTAGCAGCAGCATCCAAGAAGGAGGTTTTGGGTAGACTCAAGAGACATACGCACCGAAATTAACCAGACTACGAGAGCTCCTCAAAAGTTTTTATTCTTTTTCCTTTTTATCTTTTTAAACTGGCACACTGCCTGGTATACACTGCCAGGTAGGCATTCAGAAAAGTTTTTTTTTTTTTAAATACACAATTTATAATGCTGGGAAGATTTCATTTCAGTGTTTCCCAAAACATGATTCCTGGAAAGGGTATACTCTCCCATGACTCTGGATAATAGAGGTTTTGTTCTGATTTTTTAAGCCACCTCAGACAGACACTGAAACACATTAGATCTAATACTTAAGTGCCTTGAAAGGGCAGTAAAAATAGAATTGTAATAATTGCTGGGAAGACTGTGGTTTCTGCAGCCCAGGGTGGCTTCACAGTTGTCAGAGGACACAGATTCTATGTCCCTCCCTGACCAGGGACCTCCAGGACAGCTTCCCTGGTTGATTCTTCAGTCTTTCGGCAGAGGGCAGACCAACAGAGAAGGGTTGTGACCTCCTCCGACCAGCTCAGGCCTCATGCTGCTGCGTCGCAGACCCTGTATCAGCAGCACAGCTATGGAGCACGTCGTCCTGGAAGTGGATCCTCCGTGGGTCGTACAAAGCAGCGTAGCAGGGAACCAGAATGAGGCTCAGGGCCACCATCAAAAGAGTGACCTCCCCTCTCCTTCCAATTAGTTACCTGTATTCAATGTGCAGTGTAAACGAACGGAAGTTTTACAAATTAAATTACTTTCTTAAAAATCAATACAACATCGTTACATACAATTCTCTTTGAGAAGTCTTTCCAATGCAATTCTTAAGTTTCATTTACAAAATGGTGTGCAAAAACAAACACTGACCTCAAATAAATAGGGCAAAAAAGTGGGAAGAGCTAAAATATTTTGTGTGTTTTTAAATTAAAAGTTAAAAACACCAGCTGCACTTCAAAGTATTTGCAGGATGAAATACATCAAGAAGGCTGTCAAAAATAGCCTTCAGAGTTAGAGTTGCATTTTTAACTGAGGTTTTCTGTGTTCAAAATTCACAATGAATGCCTCCGCTGAGATCTTTCACCACTCCCTCTTTGACCAGCTTTAAGAGGAACTTGGTTTCCGTTGTCACATTATGCATGGTCTGAAAGTTCATAGCAGCCATGCACTGATTGTCAAAGTAGTGCAAAGGTGTTCTGGGTTGATTGAGGTCATATCCAAAACCCGCCAAACTGACTTCATCGCACAGATGTGTGGCTAAGACAACGGCAATCACACCGATTGTGGGGACATTCTGGAAAAGAGAAAAGAAGACCAAAAAGTTTAAAGAAAGTTTTGGCACAAGTCACCATTTTGCTGGTATTGTATATGCTATGCAGGGTCATGAAAGCTACATTGGGGGCTGCAATTTCATACATCACATAATTTTATACATCATGAACTTTAGAGTTCAACTCCCCATTTGAGTCAGGAATCTAGGCTCTAAAACATGGCCTCTGATGTTCACACACTTTCAAGGGACAGTCTGACAATTCTTACACCAAGTTAAAAGGTATTCCTTCTAGGCCGGGCGCGGTGGCTCATGCCTGTAATCCCAGCACTTTGGGAGGCCAAGGTGGGTGGATCACGAGGTCAGGAGTTCAAGACCAGCCTGGCCAATATGTGAAACCCCGTCTTTACTAAAAATACAAAATGTAGCCGGGTGTGGTGGCACATGCCTGTAGTCCCGGCTACTCGGGAGGCTGAGGCAGGAGAATCACTTGAACATGGGAGGTGGAGGTTGCAGTTAGCCGAGATTGAGCCACTGCACTCCAGCCTGGCGACAGAGCAAGACTCCGTCTCAAAAAAGAAAAAAAAAAAAAAGGAAAAAAGGTATTCCTTCTAAAATTCCTTCTAAAAGTAGGACCCCACTGGTCCTACATGTGATGCCCAGAATCACACACACATACACACAAAAAGCCTATTTCCTCTCTCAATGACAAATGTCTATGAGGTCTGCTCTGGGATAAGTGGCCACAGGACCTTCCATGGTCCTTCCCAGGGCACAGTTTCTGGAACCCATCCCTTCCTGAGAACAGAGGATTCTCAGTTCTCACTGCAAAAGACTGCGTTCACACCACCGCCAGCTACGTGCCACTTAAGGGCCCCACTGGCTTTGCTGGCAAATAGCACTTGCAGGCCATTTCCCTATGTAGAGCTGCAAAGCCAGTTTCTTCCCACCCTCTGTTTGTATACGTATTTTTTGAGACAGGGCCGGTCTCACTCTGTCGCCCAGGTTGGGGTGCAGTGGCGTGATCACGGCTCACCGCAGCCTTGACCTTCCCAGGCTCAAGTGATCCTCCCACCTCAGCTTCCTGAGTAGCTGGGACTACAGGCATATGCCACCATGCCCGGCTAATTTTTGTATTTTTTGTAGACATAGGGTTTCACCATGTTGCCCAGGCTGGTCTTGAACTCCTGGGCTCAAGCAATCCTCCCGTTTTGGCCTCCCAAGGTGTTTGGATTACAGCCATGGGCCACCATGCCCAGCCACAAGTATATTTTTAGTCCTGAATTAAATATTTTCACATTTGTTCCTTTAACAATGTATCCTACTGACCTTGGTCTAGAATCTCCACTGTCTACACCTTTCTAGATTCTGATGGTGTCCCCACTCCCTCCTGATGTCTGGCATCTTATTGTGCCTCCTGGAAAGTGCAAATGTGGCATCGTGCTTTCTGGATCTCCATGCCGGTCTTGGGTAAAAATAGTACGCAGGATGGGAGGAATACAGAGGGCCCTGCAGCTCACTATGCTTCCTTGAAGGCTGCCGCCAATCTACTGATACTGTTAATATTAGCATCCTTTTGTATAGTTTTTCATGTGAAAATGTGCCTCCCTTTTCATTCATCTTAGTTGAACCAGTGGCTACCATAAATATCTTTCCTTTTTTGTAAAGTGGAACAACGGTGGACCCTCCAGAGTTCACAGATTCAGGTGGGATTAGGGAACATCTACTGAGGCCATCATTTGTTAAAATCTGCTTCCTGCTCTTTGATGCATCTACCTCTCAAAGCCAACCTCACTTGTAAAAAAGGAACTCAACAGCCATTCTGCATGCTTGGAAATAGAAACCAAGAGAAATTAACACAAAGGACACTTTCCTCCTCTTTAGCCAGGGCTCTAGGCGTTGTTCTGTCTTCTCCAACCCCATACCCCCAGTGATGAGCTTGGCACACAGGGAATATTCAATGTTTGTGGAAGGAGTGTGTGAAATCAACTGTCCATTGGAGTGACATATGGGGAGAACGAAAACAACGATGAAAAACTCCCCAAAGCACGTTATCTCCACAGCACGCCCTTTGAGATCACATCTCCTATTGCTCAACAGGCTTCTTCATCTGCTGGAAGGACATATACGTGAGGAAGTTTCTGATATTGCAATTTTAGATCAGAAGTCCTCTTTTAAGTTACTGTTTTTATCCAAAAGAAAAATGCCATTTTATCAATTATAAAAATAGGCAAATATTCAGCTCAACTAATAGATTATAAAGCAGAAAGGAGAAGTCTTCTACAGACTTTCCCTCTGAAGAAGGGCATTCTTTACAGGCTGGTGTCTATTTCCAAGCTTTTACACTAAACACATACTTTTATTTTTAAAGTGTTCTGTATCTTCTTCTTCTTCTTACGGAGTTTCACTCTTGTTGCCCAGGCTGGAGTGCAATGGCGCAATCTTGGCTCACCGCAACTTCTGCTTCCCGGGTTCAAGCGATTCTCCTGTCTCAGCCTCCCAAGTAGCTGAGATTACAGGCATGAGCCACCACGCCTGGCTAATTTTATTTTTAGTAGAGATGGGGTTTCTCCATGTTGGTCAGGCTGGTCTCGAACTCCTGACCTCAGGTGATCTGCCCGCCTCAGCCTCCCAAAGTGTGGGATTACAGGCGTGAGCCACTGCACCCAGACTAGTGTTTAGTATCTTTATTTTCTTACTTAATATAGTATGGAGGTGTTTTCCTATCTTCTTCATCTTTAACAGTCAGAAAATATTGCATTGACTTTATCATAATTTGTTTAAACAATCACATAGTGATGAACATTTAGGCTGTTTTTAGTCCTCTGTTGTTAATGCTATAGTGTACATCCTAGAATATTCATCTTTGCAAATTTCTCTAATTTCCTTGTAATAACATTTTTAGTGTAAAATTGGTGGGTCAGAGATGATTCATATTTAAAACGGTTTAATATTGCCAAAATATCCTTCAGAAAAAGTGCCAACTGATCATTCTATGTACATTCCTGCCAAACAAGGGCATTATCAAACTTTTAAGTCTTTGCTAAGAAAGTGGGCAAAGATACTATTGTGGCTCTAATTTGCTTTTATTTGATTATTGGTAAAGTTGAACATTTTTACATGCATTCTTTGGCTATTTTAATTCTCCTTTTGTGAAATGTCTATTCCTATTCTTTGCCCATTTTCTATTGGTTCATCTTTTACTTTTTGATTTAATAAGAGCTCTTTGTATTCTGAGAGTGTTTACTCTCATTGTACATGGGATAATTTCCACACGAGTCTTAAGTTTTAAAGACACAGGTCAAGTTATTCAGATCAAGAAGCTGCAAGTAATAAAGGTATACGTACCCCCACGCCCCTGGTGGCAGCACTTGCTAATTGCAGGTAAAGAATCTCTACTGCAATAAACAGCCTAAAACACAAAGTTCCCAAATTAGGCTGCAAAATAAAAATCGTCCAGGGAATTTAGAAAATCTTGAAACACAAAACAATTAATGTCTGAGATAAGACCCAGGCATTAAGTGAAAAACACTGTTCTTGAGGATTGACTTTTATAACTATCACCTACAAAGTGGTGATAAAAATCAATTCTCACTTGAGTGGCCCACAGAGTGAAAATGTAAATATGACTTTTCTCTGGGGTACACAATTTTTTAATTTTAAAAAAATTAAAAAATAAAATGTAAATAACTTTCTGGATCACAAAAGTGCCTTTCAGAGTCCTGCAGTTATATGGAGTCCTGGAATAAGAATACCTTAAATAGTATCTCACTGATGTAAGTGTTAATGTGCTGCCTACACTAAAGAGAAGAGTCACTGGAGAGAAGGTCAATTAAATAACGAGGAGCCCTGCAGCCAAGTGCAGAGTGGTAAACACACATGTAGCATCTCATCAAAGGCTGGGTTTCTCTACTGGAGATGCTTCTGGGTATACAGTTGAGCCAAAGTGAAATTTGTACACATCTCCCCTCAAACAGGGAACGATTAACTTTGAGAAGCAACAAAAATACCTTATCTCGGCCCCAGAACCTTGACTGAGGCTCTGAGTACTGAAGGATGTCAAAGGCAGTCTCTTTGATGATAACTGGATTCAAAATCCTGAAATGTTTTGGCTGCAGTGGGATTTTTTCTGCCACCTGCTTCCAAAAGAAGAGTCGCACCCAAAACGGCTAAGGAAAGCAAGCAAGCAGTCGTTAGTCATCCTTCCAGGGGAGGGGAGAAAGCATTCCCACTCATTAGGCCACGGCCATGGGTGTGACCCCACGTGGCCCTGGGCACTGCCTTCTGCAGCAATCTAGTTCTGTAGATTGCAAAAGCGACGCAAATCCAACACTTCAACTCAAAAAAGTAACTCTAAAATAGCCACTTCACACAGGCGGCACTGGACAAAGACAGGAATTGCAGAACCAGCTTGTATTTCTTTGAGGTAGACATTCCTCAATGGCGCTAAAGCTATCATTTTGTCCAGGGAAGCCCAAGCGAACAGGTCGAATTTAAGGCTATTAAGTGCTGTGACTGCCCTCATCTTGCATCCTCTCCCACTTACTCTATTTCCTAGTCCCATGAAGTCTCTTGGCAACTGACTGAAGTCGTTTCATATATGCTTCATCTTCCAGCTAGAACTTCTGCCCAATAGAAAATCCAGAAGACCATGATGACTGGTACAGAATCAGCTTTGGAAATACAAATTCATCATCACACGGAGTTTATGTGAAAAGTCTAATACGTCCCGTGAGTTTCACAGACAGCTAGTTTGTGCATATGTCTATAAATGTGCACACACTCCTCGACAGTTGACCTCTGAAATGTATTTGAATATAATGGGTGGGACTATAAAGTAATGTGATCAATAGAGACAAAAGGAATATGACCAAGTGAGGGCCATCTCCTCCACAGCTGCCCTTCTGGAATGCCATGAATTTATTCCAACAAGGGAACCACCGACCAAAGCATTTTTGGAGAAGCTCTTCAGGAGTATTCCTTATCGATTTTATATTCTTTTGAATATCCTCAAAAAGGCTTATATCCATCTAAGTAAATCTAATTTCTGGAACTAGCCAAAAGCTATGCAAGTTCATGTCTGGAGAACAAGATGGGTGAACAATCTCAGTAACAGCAATTTTGGTCACAATCTGGATATTCCGATTAAGCAATGATCACCATTTTCATGTGACTCTTAATTAGGTTCTAAAAGCAATTTGCAGCAAATTTGCTAAGGGGTGGCTGGGCACAGTGGCTCACGCCTGTAATCCCAGCACTTTTGGAGGCCGAGGCGGGTGGATCTCTTGAGGTCCGGAGTTCGAGACCAGCCTGGCCAACATGGTGAAACCCCATCTCTATTAAAAATACAAAAATTAACCGGGCATGGTGGCAGGCGCCTGTAATCCCAGTTACTCAGGAGGCTGAGGCAGGAGAATCACTTGAACCTGGGAATGTGGAGGCTCCAGTGAGCCAAGATTGCACCACTGCACTCCAGCCCTCAAGTGTAGGCAACAGAGAGACTCCATCCCTGCACCGCCTCCCCCCACCCCGCGCCCCAAAAAAGAATTGCTGAGGGGTTTCTACAAAGAGAGTGATCATCATTTGAAAGACAACACAAAAGTATGCATTCCACTGTGCGTGTTTAAAAATAAAAGGCTATAAATACAACTAAGACTCCACTTTTTACTAAGGCAGATTTAATAGAAGTATTAGTGCTTACCAGGGTTTCATTTTTTACCATTGCTTGAAGCCAGTTGAAATCAACACTCTTAAATAAAACAGCAACAAACAAGTCATTGGAATAATATTCAAGGTCAGACAGTGGTGCGCCCTCTGGATAAGTCATCCTTATAGTAGTTTTATTTCCAACATGTTCTGAATATCCCTCAACTGGTGCACTGTTTAACCTATTTAAATAAAAAGGACAAAGACACACTGACAAAGCAGGCCATCAACCATCTCTGCACACCAGGCAGTATCCATGTCATGTCCTCCACGTCTTCTTATGACTAAGAATCAGTGCACGGTTTGCAGCCTCATCTCCCCTCCCAGCTCTGTCTTTCCAGGATTTCGAGGAATGCAGCCTTTAGTCCTTGACTGAACACTTGTATCTAATCCCCGAATGTCAAGCAATTTCATCTAGCCCTAATATTTTTACTCAATCTAAGCATATTACATTTGGGACTTTCTCTGGGTGCCAGTAAAATATCCTCGGAAATTTCCCATTATGCTCAGATATTAGTTCTTGCTAGAATTTCAAAAAAGGAATCAGAAGGGAAAATCTAGTCCACCATGCCTGGTGACTTTCTGTAGAGAGAAATTGTCTCTATGTTGCCCAGGCTGGTCTTGAACTCCTGAGCTCAAGCGATCCTCTTGCCTTGGCCTCCCAAAGTGCTGGGATTACAGGCAAGAGCCACTGGGCCTGGCCAGAAAACAATTTTTGAACAGTGAAACCAAAAAAGAATCTAGGATGACTGCCTATTGGCTATGATGGTGAATTTGAACTTCTCTGTGTGCCTTCCATGTCCCAGCCAGTACTGCCTTCCAGGACTCACTAACCCCAAGCCCCTTCTCCAGAAGCCAGGCCCTTCATTGACTCAAGTCTCTTGCTGTGTCCTCTTCTTGCTCCTGCCTGGCAGTTGTGGTCCTTTGCTGTTTTACTTGAATCTACCCACCTTCCAAACCTCACTTCTCTGACAAGGTTCGGCCACTTACTGCAGCCAGCAGCATGCTCCTCCAACTCAGGGTCAGTATGACAGTTTGGAGCATCCAACCATTTTGTGTTTTTGTTTCAACTTCTCAAACAGTAAGTCCCTTGAGAGCAGGGACTATGAACAGCTTCCTGCATCCCTCACTTTTCCTGGAGCCGCACTGACCAAGAGCAGTGCACTGAGTTCTAGAGAAGAAAGGCTGGTTTTAAAAGCAATGTACCCCAGTCTGGGCAATTTGCAGAAATCCCATCTCTACTAAAAATATAAAAAATTAGCCACACGTGGTGTGTGCCTGGGGTCCCAGCTACTGGGGAGGCTGCAGTGGGAGGATCTCCTGAGCCTGGGAAGTTGAGGCTGCAGTGAGCTGAGATCACACCACTGCACTCCAGCCTGGATGACAGGAGTGAGACCCTGCCTCAAAAAATAAAATAAAATAAACAACAAAAATAAGTAAACAAAAAAAAAGCAATGTACCTTATCACAACATCAAATTGGTTCAGGGTGTGGCCCAGTTCTAATCCGTGCAGTATTCCTCCGCTTCCAATAACCACACAGCGCCGACAGGTCTTGGCTTTCAAGTGTTCAGGGAGGTCATGCTCCGGCAAGAGTTCCAAGAGGGTCTGGACTTTACTGGAGAACTTCCGGAACCCAAAAGGAGGATCATACTTGGACTCAGTTTCACTATCTTTGGGGGCCTTGTGCACAAAAGGGAGTAAGTCCACGCTATACCTGTGCTCAAATAACATCGCCATTGATGTCTTGGCAAACTTGGGACGACATTCCTTCTGCAAGACTTGCTGAGCATATTTCTGAGCTCTCTGGAATGAAATCACACCAATCTGGGTTTTAAAAACTCTCCTGCGTTAAAAATATACTCTTCTAGATGACAATTTGTCCTATGATGTCTGATGTAGCTCCTGTGTTGACTACTGTCTTTTAACACAGAATATTTGCTTTTTAGAGTTAAGTTAGGCTCAGAAACTTGAAGAAACAACCTGGGAGAATCACATGACAAGGAGATAAACACAGCAGGCTATTCATTTCATTGCACAGGCAAAGCAAGAAGGACTCCCACCTCCCACCCCCTGCCTAACATTGTTCAAATACATTTGGGGTAAAAATGTACTTTGGGGTGTTTAAGACTTCATGTTTCATAAAATTCTGATACAAGCTATAACCTGGTTAAATACTGAGGACATTATGCTATGTGAAGCCAGTCACAAAGAGACAAATACTGTCTGACCTGCCTTATATGAGGTATCTAAAGTAGTCAAATTCATAAAAACAGGAAAGAATGGTGGTTATCAGGGTTGAAGA